AGAGAGGGGAGAGGAAAGGGAAAGGAAAGAGAGAGAGAGAGAAAGAGGAAAGAGAGGGAGAGGAAAGAGGCATACAATAATTCATTTGCATTTAATTGTAATGGTTCAAAGAATGTTTGGAAAAATGTTCGGCCCTCCAGCACGTTCACTTCATCCAATCTGGCCCTCTTTGAAAAAAGTTTGGACACCCCTGTCTTAAACAAATCTGTGTAAAAGGGAGGAAATTGTCTGTGTTATAGGTGACTATTAAATAAGAAAGGTTTTAACAAATTATTTTGTATTTATTTTTTGTGCAGTACAATTTGTCCAGACTTTTTTAAGGGAAGAGAACCTTGGAAACCATCTGATGATATGTCTCAATTAAATGAATGGCTAAAAACACGAGATCCCAAAAATATAGATAAGTAAGCTTTTATCTTGAAACGTATTTACTTTTTCTTTTCTCTCTCTCTCTCTCTCTCTCTCTCTCTCTCTCTCTCTCTCTCTCTCTCTCTCTCTCTCTCTCTCTCTCTCTCTCTCTCTCTCTCTCTCTCTCTCTCTCTCTTTATGTGTGTGTGTGTGTAGGATATATAGGAGACAGGTAAGCAGCTGACCCCACTTGATTCTAAATAATATATCCCATTATTGAAACCATTTAGTCACCATATAAGGGAGATAGGTGGCAAAATAAATCCATTTCTATCAAACACACACACACACACACACACACACACACAAAAGCCCTCTTCAGATCCTGCATATTTTAATATATCTTACCAGTATCCTCTACACTTTTTCCAGTCAGTTTCAACAAATTGTTCTGAAAAATAGTGTTTAAAAAATGGTTAAAGTGCTGGCCTAGAAAGCAGGAGACTATGGGTTCTAAGCCTCCCTTAGGCATGAAATCTGGCTGGGTGACTTGGGGCCAGTCACCTTCTCAGCCCAACCCACCTCACAGCCAATCCATCTCATCTCACCAGCTAGCTAGCTAGATGGATGGATGGATTGATTGATTATAGATGATGTAATAATACCAAAAACAAGTGGAGCATCACTTAAGTACCATTGGGACTGACAAAAATCCCCATCAGTCAATTGCAAAAGATTGCCTATATTGAAGCTTGTTCCAAAGAAACAGCTGGCACAAGTATTAAAAGCTGCAAATAGTATAATATCAAATATAAGAACCAGCTCATTGCAAGAAACAAACCATTGATGTATAGCACAACTGCAAATATAACTGAAGATCTTGGATGCAAAATCAACAAAAAAGGGTAAACAGTGCATTACCAAAATGAAAGATCAGGTTGGAAAATAAGATCAACATGCTAAGATCAGATTTAAGCAAGCTAGAACATATGAAAGAAGTAGAAGAACAAGAAGACCAAAAAATAGCTTATCAACAAATGTCACTAAAGAGAAGAAAGTTCAAGGGACCATTGGGAAATAATAAACCAGCAAATAACAACTCTGGTCAAGAAAATCAGATATGAAGCTCAAACTGCACACTACAGACAGAATCTCCCATTTCAGTTATATCAGAAATATTTCTACCAATCTATCAATGGAGAGAAAGAATTGAAGAAAATCACAAAATATCAAGATCTGAAATAACTGTGGTAAAAGAAAGCAAAAATAATACCAATAATAATGGGTATATTTGGTAAAATCCTAAAACATCTGGAGTATCACTCGAACATCATCAGCATTGGTAAAATCCCCATCAATCAACTGCAAAAGGGAATTGTGCTTGGAAGACCTTACATCGGTACCATCAAGCAACAACATCTGCCTATCCATGGTGGGAAGATTGCGATAGGTAGATAAAAATGCCAAATCCAGTATAAATATTTGGTTAACTGTGAAACCAACCATAATATTGTCTTGTATTATGCTAATTCAGGTTTATGTGTTTTCCCCCTCTCAAGATTACTATTTTTCTGGTTGATTTCTTTGCTGACTTACTTTTTGTACCTTAGGGAAACTGATGTAGTCTTGAGATATTTGAAGGAAGAATGTTATGTGACAAGGATAGGCGTCATTGGCTTCTGTTGGGGTGGATCTGCTGTACATCATCTGATGTTGAACTATTCTATATTTACTGCAGGCGTGTCCATCTATGGTATGTGTTTAATGCAATGGAAGCTGTGCAGATTATCATTTTCAAGAGAGAGATACAGTAGTGGCCAAAATTTGGTTAAGTTTCCACCAATTTTTCTTCTAATTTCTTTATAACTGTAGCCTTGTTCACTTAATACTATTTTACATTGCTTTCTGGGCAACCAGTCAACTCTTTGCACCATTACTTTAATTTTATTACGTTTTACAAGCTCACTAAATGAAAGAACACAAAAAAACCCAACCAACTTGATAGCGATCACATAAAACACTGACAAATGTCCTCCTCTCAGCTTCAATACATGACATCAATAACTGAATCCTACTGTGATCTGATTGGCTCATTGCCAAGACGACACCTGATTGGCTCTCTAAACACTCATGCTCATTGGCTACAATCAGATGAAGGAAAGCTACCTGACATCAACCTAAGCAAGTTGTGCTTCCTTTTTCTGGTTATTTGGCTATAACTTTTCATAGAATACAGTACAGATAATTGAACAAACTATGTTGCCTTACATTCTTGATTAAATTATCTTTCCATTGATATATAATTTTATGGTACTACTCCAAAAAAAAGT